TTGCATCGGTCATAATAATAATAAAAAGATTAACTTAGTGCACATACTTGATTGCACAAAAAGAAAAAAAGATGAATCAATCAATTATGATTTTATGTACAAAAAAACTAATACTAATTATTAAATAATTTATCAAAATTAATTTTTTAATTTATCAAAATTGTATGGAACTTTGATACTGAATGTTTTGATATATTGAAAGATAAAAAAAATTTAGAAATCATTCTCGAAAAATGTTTATACATTTGCCTTGAAGAAAGAAAGAGATTTAACTGATCGTTGTTGGACATTAAAAATTTTTTATTACTATTTTGTTCAAGCACATTCATCTATTGAGAAATTATTCCCAGTTGAATGCAAACAAAGTGAAAACGTGAAAAGAGTAAATTGCAACTATACAGAGAACAGTTTATCAGTCATTGGTCAAAGAGCGGTTTTCAAAAGACGAAATTGAACGAGTCGACCTCGTGCAAGCTTTTTTCCCTTTCTTTAACAGAAGAAATGAACATCGAAAATCAATGGCTAAGTTACAAGTCGAACTGAATCGACAGAGAGAAGCGAAATTCCCATGATTGACCACAAAGAAACGCATAATTATATCCGAGCCGAAAAAATGTTAAAATTGTTTAAAAGGTTGCAATATCCTAAACATTTTTTCGCGATACTCAATTCATTCATGCCGAATCGAAAGCATGATGCAATTTAAATCAACAAGAATATTATGAATGTATCTATGTTAATTCGATGATATATAATGCTCGCTTCAAGATTTACATTGGTTGGTTCAACGCAGTCTTCACAAATCTACGAAGCAGTACGATAAACTTGGAGTTTCAACGATGAAATTCCGCGTAAGACAAGCTCGATCACGAATTCATTTCGTTGTGAATTTATCCAGCTGGCACAGTTTCAGATTCGTAGCTGCGATGTCGTCGCATTTTGCGCGCTCAGCTAACCTGAGCGTACGGAAAACTAATCAATTTACTAACGCCGCGCATTAATTGTGGCTCCAGTAACGTCGTGTAAGTAAGTCACACACTCACGCTTTGCTTCGTGACCCGAATTATTCAACTGAGTGCAACCGCGTTCCGCATCATCGTCCTACTTTCGAAACTTTGCACTTTAGCGACTTAATCGTAAGACCGAGACAGCGGCGCGATCAATTCGCAAGTCAAAAGCTCCTTTTGCATAGGAAAAGCACAAAGCAGCCGAATAAAATTTCGATACGAATTCCTCGTAAACGTTATGTGGGACTTTGCTCCAAAATTCATTATTCAATCGGTAATTTCCCATGCGCATTTTCTTTTTTCGTGTCTTTTTCTCTCTTTTTTTTTGTTTCGTATGTGCATTTTGATTCTCAAATTAGAAACGATTGTACATAGTCTCGAGAATAGACACGATTCGTGATGCTCATGAAAATTCCGTATGCTAGTAAGCGCTAGTTATAATCCCGAGAGAACCTATATCAAACTACACATAAATACACAACTAAAAACATAAATATAGTTTTATTACATGCAAATTGTTTTATTCATTGCGAAGTGTATTTTATTTTTGATGCATGAGATTGATTTGTTTTCCAAACCAAAAAGTTTCGTTAATTTCGTTAATGCATAATGATTTTTTTCAATGAGAATTTGTCATAATTTTTGGTACAAAAATCAATTATAATGCCAATTATAGCAAAATGAAAAAGATATTTAAAAAATTTAGATTTTAATTATAAATTATGTTGATGCATTCTGTTTTAAGACACTTAGATAACTATCAATTATGGAAATGGAGATTAGATTTAAAAATTTTATAATTTTCTCTGTCAATCTGTTTTCTTAACGAGAATATCAATTTACAGAGAAATATTGTTTCACACGAAACTATCGATTATCGAAGGAGGCAATTTATTACGTAATATAATCATGGAATATAATTAACGAAATCTGTTGACAATTATGATTCTCTCGTTAGTCCAAGCTCTTAAGGAAGGCTGTTTTTTTTTTAAGTCCGACCAATGTCAAATCAATGTTGACTGTATCTCGCAGGTTTTTTTAATTCCGTCGAGATCTCGCTTATTTCGGTGCAATCGTTGAAATTATGGATGATGTCGCGAGATACTGCATCGTTATCACCGAGAGGAAAATACGTAGCAAGAGGCACGAATATGCCATGACGTAGCCGTGATTGCCTCGCTAGCATTCACGTTTCTACTGCGACTGATGGAATTCGTGAAACTACGAACGCGTTGGTCGTTGACCTTTCTGTTGATCTGGCAGTAATGCTGACTGTGCAACACTTCACATCGTATCAGGAGATATATGCCAGAAATGCACGATATAATCTGGCATTGAGGTAAAGTCATATTAATGAATAAGCAAATTCTATTTTAGTAGAATCTTTATAATATTCATGATGATAATAAGTTCCTTAACCATTCAGACCCTATGTACAGAATTATGCACGCAACTTTAAAATCATGTGAAATAGTTATTTTTTAGAATTAGTTTTCCTGCGATCTCTCGGTGGAATTGGAAATTCCTAACAGTTATAAGTCATAAAAAAAACCCTTAGCATCAATAAAAATTAATTCAATAATTTTTTACCTAACCAGAAAAAATTCAGGTCCGAATGGGTTAAGAAATTTCGCGAATGCATAATCTAACATATTTAATATTTTTAACAAAGTATCAATTATTTCAATAGCCAAATTGAAATATGAATTGTCTCTTATTCTAGAATTTTTAAACATAATGCAGAATGCTTTGATGAGTATTTTACATAAAATATATACGTGGCAAAAACCAGTTTGATATGCGTGTTTGTTTTTCGCATATATATCGTATTATATTATTCTATAAAAGTCAAGCTCGTGATCTGTCGCGGGACAGGTTCAACAACCGTCCTGGGCACCAGGGAATTCACATTTCTGCTGACTAACTGGCGCTGCGTTCATTCGCGATAAGTTTGTCACGATTATCCCGATACGCAGTTGACAAAGCGGGAAATTAAAGCTCGTCGGATGCAGGACGGGAGATTCTGAGCGAGATCCCAGCGGAAATTTGCTGCGCATCGCGCTACACATATTTATGGAAATCTAACGCGTTACATGGCCAGTGCCGCATCGTGGCATCACTTCAAACACTTCGACTATTGCTCGGACCAGCGCACCACTCTCGCAATTCGACGAGTAACTCGCAACACACATTCATCCGCGATAAGTTCGACGATTGCTCGGGAGCACGTAGGTTCCTGAGGAAATTAAAACTTGGCCAATTCAACCACGCGGGAAGCGGACAGTTGGCAGTGGCTTTATTAACTGTCGAGAAGAGAAAGAAAGCTGCCATAGAGTCGAGGCTAATGAGAGATACGGCGAAGCCGCTTGAGATGTCCCCTCGTCCCCTCTCTCCCTTTCCTCTTCGCGTACGCATCGAGAGAAGCGAATAAACCACCCTCGTCGAAATGCGAAGAACCCGCGTCGCGGTTTTCTCCCTAGGGTAATCTTAATTCTCAAATTGTAGCCTCTTTTGTATCGCGACGACATGCGCGCAACATTCCGAGTTTTGATCAGCGTTCGAATGAATGAAAAATTCAGTGCCGCAGCGCACGAGTTACCCCTCGGGGTGCTTTTATTAGAATGCTTGTTTACCAATCTTGCAGCCGCGGTCATGCTCAATTTGTCGACTTGATTTCTAATGTCGATACTCTCGCATTAGAAATCATCTCTGATATTTTCCTTTTTCATTTTATTCACTCTTTTAGACGCATATCAGACGAAACTGTACGTCATAAATGTCTAATGGATGTTTTTGGGATTTTATCATTTGAGTATTTTAGAATTTATTTAGATTTTTAGATATCTATTATTCTCGTTATAATGTTATTATTTGATCACTATACTTTTAAGTAATATCTTTATGCAAAAAAAAAAAAAAATCGAAAGTTGAATAAAAACCGCGTACCAAGCGTGTAATATGCCAGATATTTATGCTCAAAACTAAAATTATTTAAAGCAAATTCAATATCACGGTGGTATTTGATGAAATGAATTAAAAATGAAATGAATTAAAAATCATAGAAGGCAGATTATTGTTCCATTACTTTCATCGCGTATTAGCGAGCTGTGAATTCTTGTAAATATTTCAGGTCAATATTCGTTCAATTGCTGTAAAATTGTGTCGCATAAATAAACGGCCACATTCATTCGTTAATTTACTTTTATTATATTATCAATTACAGTTCGACGTAATTATGCCTCTGATTTAATCAATCATTATGTACACAGTTGAGTCATCATATTCAGCATATAAGCCAGCATTAAATAAGACCTTTGAAGTTTTATATTTTTGCATATTAAAAACACACATATCTGATTAAACAAAACATAAAGCAAATATCTGTATTTTTTTGTAATAAATTATTGTGTAACAAGGTAATTAAAATTATTTAAAATGTTATTGATTTAGCATTTATTTTTAGAAATCTAAACTGCATAATTTCTTCTTTCTTTGCACGTTTTATAAAAATTTATAAAAATTATTATACAGCTAAGAAAAAACCGAAATATACAGATGTTAAAATTATCATAAAGAAAAACACAAACTTTAGTTTGATAAATTATTCAAGGATCTTATATTTGTAAGGTATCGAATAGCGAGCTTTCTTTAGTAACGTTCACGAAATAATTTCGATGCGATCGCTTGGAGAAGAGACTCTGTTGTACATAAATAAAAGAGAAAATAAAGAATTTGCGTCGCTCATAATTTAGTGAAGCCACAAGATGCAAAGAAAGGAGAAATTTTCGACGTGAAACGGAACAGGACCGTACTTACGCCAACGTGAATTAGGATAGGACGTAGTCCGCGGAAAAGCACAAGCGCTTGCGCTAAAAGCCACGGCTTGCGGGGGGTTGGAAGAGGGTAAGAGAGAATTCTCGCCGGGGTGGGGACAGGGATCGTAGTTGGAAGCTTCTGCGGGAAACGGAGAATCTGCGAGTGTCAGTGCGATTCGCGACGCGATGCCCTTCGCTCCCCCGGTCCGTGCTTAAGGGGTGGTGGGATCGTGGGCTCGCCGGTTTCTCCCGTTGTGTCGTCGTTAAGAACAACGGAGATTGCTATGTAATTCTCTGTGTGCGACAACTTCCACAGAAATCAAAGCCTATTCGTACAAAACCTCGGATGGTACAATTTCGTACAAAAGCAAGTAATCGCGCACATACGGATCTAGTTTCCGCTACGGAAATGTGTTAGACGTGAGTGACAATTTAGTAGGATTAATTCCGCGCTCGGAAATGAGCTCTGTCACATCGATCATCCTCGCGTCTCTCGTTATCAGCCGATGAAGGAGCAATCGTTTTATTTAATTACTCGCGACGAATCGGTGCAAGACTGCGATAGAAGACGCGATCTTGCGAATTCTTGTCTATTACTATGCCGCGAGAGTTCTACTGTGAGAAAATTATGCAAACGTAATTTCCTGTTGCCCTGCGATCGCGATTTGCGCCGGAGAAACTCCAGAGCGGAGCATAGTCTGATCGCGCGTTTACCATTATCGGAAAATAGCGGCGAGGTGCTCGAAGTAAATTTTAAGATACGATACGCATCTCTCTTTCGTCCCATCCTTTTCTCTATCGTGTCTGCATGCCCTACGTCAACCTCTTTCCACCTTCTTCGTTTTCCGCTCACCAACTTCTCTCGTGCAACTTTCCCTTTAAATTGCGTTAGAAACTCGATCTGCGATGTGCGATAATAATGATTGAAAAGTTTTGGTAACAATTATCGACTAAATTTTCAATGCGGCGTTTTCAACTCTCCCCAACTATTCTTTTTATAATGCATCTTTCGCATTCCGGTTTTCTCACAATTACACGCCAGAAATTTTAGAAAATTAATTGAAAATGAAATACAATTAACATTTTTAATCTAAATTCAGATATCATTAATAATCATAGGAATGTGTCATATTAAGAGGTAAAATGTTTCATTTGTGAAATAAGACATTGTGTTTTTTTGAGCTACACAACCAAATTTCAATAGTTTTCCCTTCGCACTCAGCATTGCCTTATATAGTTTCAATGGGAATTACCGGCCAAATTGCATTCAGAATTCAATTCCATAGGGATAATAATAATGATCCAAAGCTCTTACGCGGCAATTATAAACGTGGAAACTTAGTATGGATGAAAGTTCGTCGCCCGTTTGCGTTCCCTTATTGGCATACCGATCTTCGTAACATCGGAGCAAACGAAGAGAGATGATTAAATACATACGTCTGTCCCATTTTAATTCAATATACATTTGTGTTTACAAATCGACATTTAATTACATATTTAAAAGCACGCCATTATAAAATGATACAATTTAATTAAAAAATATTCATTTTAAAATAATTATTATAAGATACATGAGCCACGAAAATTTTGCGTCAAAAGTATTTATACAAAACTTAAATTAATTTTATAAATTAAATATTGCATGGAAACAAATATTAAATAAAGAATTCTGGAGCTAATGAGAGAATTAAAAGCAGTATTTTAAAATCGAATGCGATTCGTGATGCAGTTAATTCTGTTATAATTATGCAAGACCGAAAAACTGAGTGAGAACGTGTTATTCGTGTTGAAAGTATTACGCGAGCTCTGGTGACCAATTCAGAGAGAGCAAAAGGATTATTAAAAGCGCATAATGGATCGCTGGACAGATACTAATTGATAAAATATTAGCGGAATTCACTGTAAACGTACATGTAACAAGAATATGATTAATTAATCTACAAGAGCTTCTCGCCATTGATTGGACAAAATTTAACGGTGAGTACACATGCATATATATACACACAAATTATAGTTAAAACAAGATATTTTGTAAAAAATGTTAACAAGTAATACTAAAATTTTCAAAATTAAAATAATAAAAAATAAGTATTAAAATTAGCATTTACTTTATTCGTAAAGTTATTCTTTCATGTAATTTAATTTCTCATTGGACGCTAGTTTCTAATTCTCTGCGTTTTCTGCTTTTTCATGAATTGAATACACGAATCATAACTAATTTAGACTTGTATCCTATATTCCTGGTAATGTATTTACCAATTAACAAAAGTAACTGTTGGCTAAGAGGGCACTGCCTTAATTTTCATTTCTCGTCTTAATTCTCCGCGTTAATTCGCACTCACATTTTACGTCGTTAGACCGGCATCATAATGGTAAATTATGTGTAACTTTGCAAACAACACATTTGAATATCACTCTTTCTAAGATAATTCGTTGAAGACATAAGCGCTATAAATGGTTCTGTTTTATGTGCCTCACAATTTATGATGAAATAATTATTGCGAGACCACAAATAATCGAGAATTGGTAGTTGATTTTAAAGCCGCCAGTTATGTGGTGATTTGTTATTTATTATATATATTATATAATTAATTCGTCACGAAATATGTCCGCTCATTGAAAGATAATATGCCGCACGACATAAAAAATAATCCTGATTCGATCTCATTAATAATTGTCTCATTGATCGGATTAAATTGATAACTTGTCGGTATATATACTTTATTTAATAATTCAATTGATGCGAAGCCTAATTATTCATTATGGAATTATATCGGATTTAAATAGGACTATTTTGTTTTCACATCGGAGAAATAATCTGCATCTAATATGCAACTGAAAATGTATCACCTTTATAATGCTTTCATGTATACATATATTTTTTCAAAATTAACCTTTGTATCAATATGCGAATATGCATTATTGTTTAGTTTAAATTAAAATTTTAGATTTTTTAACGAAACAGTTTTCTCATTCTTTAAATAATCATACGTTGATTAATGTGTTTATAGAATAAAAATTTAAATGTACAATTTCATGAAAAGATTATAAAAATACCATGAAAACACTGAATATTGTTATAAAAATTAAATATTAAATTTTTTAGAATATACAATATATTTTTATAATTCTCCTCTTGATGTCCCTTTTTAAGATTGTTTCTTTACATAATATTCAGAAATTGCTGAAAAATATTATGTAATGTACGATATTACGAAAAATGCAAAAAGGAGAAATTGGAAAACAATTATTATTTCTCTATACTTTAATACATTTACATCGCAAATAAAATTTACATCCATCTATCAGATGGATCAATGTGCTATTTACTTTTAATATAATGACTTATATCAATAAGTATATCAATATATTAATAATTTATATCAATTTTTTTAATAACAGTTTATTTTCCTGTATGTTACAAAAAGCTTTCAACAGCACAATTGATTTTATTTTCTAAAATATAAAACATGTGTCCTGTTGGAAATGGCTTATTTAATCAAGAAAATTAAGAATTGTATTGTCTATAGCGATGCTAGTATTATCTTGTTTTCGTTGGGAAATCGTTAGCATCGAAGTGAAATACAACGAAATGCACTAGCACCAGAAAAAGCGGCTTGCAAGCACCGCGTCAGCATTCCATTTCGCCCTGCTCAATAAGCGATACCGTCATCGTTGAAATTTTTAGAAACATAAAATCGCGGAAGCGTCTGACAAGAAGAGAATCTATATCTATCGTTTGTTCCATTATCTTTAATTTCGTGAAAAATAAATTTGGTATATTATTCACGAGAATCTGCTAAAGAATTTTATAAGATACTATAGTAAATATATGTTAAAAATTTTGTATTCTCTAAAAGGCGCGACAACATATACATAAATGAGGATTCGATGAGTCGTAGATATAAAAAAAATTACTTGTAAAATTATATAAAACAGCCAAATTCAGTATTGCGATCACTAATAATTGGATAAACAATTCTGTATGTTTGGACAAAAGATAAAATCAATTCGGAAAATTGTTTTTCGTGCGAGTAAACGAGAGCTCTAGAGACGAGTAAACTGTTACTTTGCCTCATGGGAGACTATTATCAATAATCGGTCAAAATAATGATTTAAATATGCTTAATACGTATGGAAAATGCCAAATTGCCTTTTGAAAATATTATTTTAGATATTAAATTCTAAAAAATAAACATTTGCAAATTGTGCACAATGATTAATACATATGCGATTTTAATTAAAAAATATGACAATCTGATGGTATGATAAATATTGAATTAAATCTTCATGTGTTATCTAAAATATATTGTAACATTAACTTACGGAAAATTGCATTCTCCACTAAATCTTCCGATTAAGTTTATTCAAGAAGAAATGTCTACAGCGGCCGTTCAGCATCATTATGAATTATGCATTGCGACGGCGCACCAAGAGAGAGCAAACTTTGCCGGTTTTCCATTTATATTAAGCGTCACGCAAACTCGTCAGCGTCAAGTGCCGAAACTCGAACGATTCGCGTGAGCTTGCAATTAACGAACTTCCCAGTGAAGAAATTCGAGGAGAGATCGTGGCATTCATCGATGAATCACAATAAAGTAATTTGTCACACGTTTGTTTTAATGCACGTTGCTGCGCAGAGCCAATATTTGTTAGTCATAAAAGTACTCTTTTAACATGCGTGACACAAAAGTTGAGCACAATAATGACACATTGCATATCCATATGTCATCATGTGTCCAACTTTTAGGAACTTTTAAAATCGTGAAAACGAGAATTTGTATTGTCCGTTTTATCTTTACCTTCATGAAAAATAATTTGAATTATGATTCGCTACCGAATGATTTCTATAATTATTTTTAAACAAAATTATATGAATATAATCACGTCGAGATACAATTTTGCAAGAGTACAAATTTTACAACAAGCGTAACGTTGTTTTACATATGACGCGATAATTCTGTTAATTCTTATTATATTATATGGATACTCTAAATTATAATCTCTCGATAATGTTTCTCGTTCGCGTTAATTACGTGAAATCGCGTTCTTGGCAATATCGGTCATAAAGCCGATCTCGCAAAGCTTGTCAATGGATCAGTGGAAACGGCTTTGCGAATGTCAATGTGATTGCGTGATCGAAACTGTTCCAGTAATAGGAGCTGTGACACGGTACGTTGCTCCTCGATACAGGGATTGTAATGAGCTAACTCCGCGCTGCAATGTCAAAGGTCTCTTGCCGGCCTGCCTTGCAGCCGTTCTAACTTTGATATCTCATTCCTTGACGTATATCCCACGACTGACGTGAGCTAAATGACGGATCCATCGCACAATTAAACGCCATCAAGGTCTGGCCGGAAATAAATAGCAAATATCGTCAGGCCGACTATGTTGGTGATATAGTGATACCGACGTATTAGTTAATCACTCGGTAGTGCATGTGTTTCATTGCGATCGCACTGTCTAGGAATCTAGATCACCGAAGCTATAATGAAATTGTATAGGTATAGGTTAATAGTAAAAGAGACTGAGAACGAATTGATATCTTGAATCATCCGTGATCATGCTTAAGTTTGAATTAAGATATTTAGATAGATAGCTAGATATTGAAATTAATTTGATCGAAATAAATTCTCTTAGTTGGATTCGAAAAATATCTTCAATTTTATCTTTCTTGAATAACAAGAAAAAGTATCTTATACAAAATTATAAGTAAAATTAAAATTAATAAAAAATAAATCATGTATAACTGTAACTAAAAATCATTTGTACTTCATTTACTCATGAAGATTAAATTTGATTCCACTGTACCAGGATTAAACCCATTTTAGATGATTTAAAATTTGCAACAGAAATTTATAACTTTATCTCTCGCGTATGCTATGTATATTTTTATATGTGTATATTTTTCATATTGTATTTTATACTTTATATATATGTATATTTTAATTTTTTTAATGTTTTCTATATTACAGTTCATGAAATTATAAATAAAACTGCTCTTGTATACGAATTATTCCGTTTAAAATGAGTTTTAATATATATTTGCAAAAAACAAGCTAACAACTGAAAGCTATTGACGAAATGATATGTTACAAAGTACGTAATGCAGTGAATATCGTATCACTCAGCACAGATTCACAGTACTATCCCCAAATATCGTTATACGTACATATTATTAAATAACCAATTGCGCGTATCACATATGTAGCAGTAAGCTAATATTACGGCATAAATGATGGATTATTAGCATTCGTCTCATTAAGTTTGCTATATCGAGTATGAATCATTCCTGAATAAACGGAGAAATGTGTGCTTTGTCAAATTTTTAAATTTCAAGTTAAAGAGCTTGAAGATGTACGAATAAAAATAATATTGACAGGTTCGATAAAAAATTAGATATTAAATCTTTCGTTAATAAGCATTACCTAATAAATACGTGATTATTGACATTTACAAGTATCAGTAAATAGAAATTTTTTGAAATTGTTTGTCCACAGAAAAGATGGGCTATCAAATTTAAAGAAAATATAGAAAATATCAAATACAAATATAGAGAGAATCACTGAATATCGTTATTTGAGCTTGCTTGTCGTAAATCTATTCTATTCTATTGTTACTGACACGCAACGACATTGTTAAAATTCCCACGATGTACGTATTGAAAGACAACAACTCGCGCACGTAGATAGTTTATATCGAATGGGCTGTCGTGCGTAAAATCCGTGGACAGATAACCGACATCGAATTGATATCCACTTAGTGATCTCTCTCGATAAATGTCGCGCACGCGAAAAATCTCTCGCGATGAGTCATATTTCGTGAGCAAACGCGCGATATCAAATTCGACGGGCGATAAATCGGTTTTGTACAAACTTATTTGGCTTAATACCAAAATTACTCTGCAGCTTAAATGACGAAGACAGTATCATTTATTTCTAATCAATTTCTAATCAAGATTCATGACTTCGTTGTAT